CGATGAGGTGGGTCGTGCGTTATCACTCCATGAGGATGAAGACCACCTGTTCTTGTGAACATGACTGACACTGGCACGATGAGGTGGGTCGTGCGTTATCACTCCATGAGGATGAAGACCACCTGTTCTTGTGAACATGACTGACACTGGCACGATGAGGTGGGTCGTGCGTTATCACTCCATGCGGACAATCGCCACCTGTTCTTGTGAACATGACTGACACTGGCACGATGAGGTGGGTCGTGCGTTATCACTCTATGCGGACACTGGCCACCTGTTCTTGTGAACATGACTGACACTGGCACGATGAGGTGGGTCGTGCGTTATCACTCTATGCGGACACTGGCCACCTGTTCTTGTGAACATGACTGACACTGGCACGATGAGGTGGGTCGTGCGTTATCACTCTATGCGGACACTGGCCACCTGTTCTTGTGAACATGACTGACACTGGCACGATGAGGTGGGTCGTGCGTTATCACTCCATGCGGACACTGGCCACCTGTTCTTGTGAACATGACTGACACTGGCACGATGAGGTGGGTCGTGCGTTATCGCCCATGAGGATGAAGACCACCTGTTCTTGTGAACATGACTGACACTGGCACGATGAGGTGGGTCGTGCGTTATCGCCCATGAGGATGAAGACCACCTGTTCTTGTGAACATGACTGACACTGGCACGATGAGGTGGGTCGTGCGTTATCGCCCATGAGGATGAAGACCACCTGTTCTTGTGAACATGACTGACACTGGCACGATGAGGTGGGTCGTGCGTTATCGCCCATGAGGATGAAGACCACCTGTTCTTGTGAACATGACTGACACTGGCACGATGAGGTGGGTCGTGCGTTATCGCCCATGAGGATGAAGACCACCTGTTCTTGTGAACATGACTGACACTGGCACGATGAGGTGGGTCGTGCGTTATCACTCCATGCGGACAATGGCCACCTGTTCTTGTGAACATGACTGACACTGGCACGATGAGGTGGGTCGTGCGTTATCGCCCATGAGGATGAAGACCACCTGTTCTTGTGAACATGACTGACACTGGCACGATGAGGTGGGTCGTGCGTTATCACTCCATGAGGATGAAGACCACCTGTTCTTGTGAACATGACTGACACTGGCACGATGAGGTGGGTCGTGCGTTATCACTCCATGCGGACAATCGCCACCTGTTCTTGTGAACATGACTGACACTGGCACGATGAGGTGGGTCGTGCGTTATCACTCCATGCGGACACTGGCCACCTGTTCTTGTGAACATGACTGACACTGGCACGATGAGGTGGGTCGTGCGTTATCACTCCATGCGGACACTGGCCACCTGTTCTTGTGAACATGACTGACACTGGCACGATGAGGTGGGTCGTGCGTTATCGCCCATGAGGATGAAGACCACCTGTTCTTGTGAACATGACTGATTCTGGCACGATGAGGTGGGTCGTGCGTTATCGCCCATGAGGATGAAGACCACCTGTTCTTGTGAACATGACTGACACTGGCACGATGAGGTGGGTCGTGCGTTATCGCCCATGAGGATGAAGACCACCTGTTCTTGTGAACATGACTGACACTGGCACGATGAGGTGGGTCGTGCGTTATCACTCCATGCGGACAGTAGCCACCTGTTCTTGTGAACATGACTGACACTGGCACGATGAGGTGGGTCGTGCGTTATCACTCCATGCGGACACTGGCCACCTGTTCTTGTGAACATGACTGACACTGGCACGATGAGGTGGGTCGTGCGTTATCGCCCATGAGGATGAAGACCACCTGTTCTTGTGAACATGACTGATTCTGGCACGATGAGGTGGGTCGTGCGTTATCGCCCATGAGGATGAAGACCACCTGTTCTTGTGAACATGACTGACACTGGCACGATGAGGTGGGTCGTGCGTTATCGCCCATGAGGATGAAGACCACCTGTTCTTGTGAACATGACTGACACTGGCACGATGAGGTGGGTCGTGCGTTATCGCCCATGAGGATGAAGACCACCTGTTCTTGTGAACATGACTGACACTGGCACGATGAGGTGGGTCGTGCGTTATCGCCCATGAGGATGAAGACCACCTGTTCTTGTGAACATGACTGACACTGGCACGATGAGGTGGGTCGTGCGTTATCACTCCATGCGGACAATGGCCACCTGTTCTTGTGAACATGACTGACACTGGCACGATGAGGTGGGTCGTGCGTTATCGCCCATGAGGATGAAGACCACCTGTTCTTGTGAACATGACTGACACTGGCACGATGAGGTGGGTCGTGCGTTATCACTCCATGCGGACACTGGCCACCTGTTCTTGTGAACATGACTGACACTGGCACGATGAGGTGGGTCGTGCGTTATCACTCCATGAGGATGAAGACCACCTGTTCTTGTGAACATGACTGACACTGGCACGATGAGGTGGGTCGTGCGTTATCACCCATGAGGATGAAGACCAGTGGCGCCAGCAACCGTCTCACCTTCTGTCATATGGCAGTGGAATTTATTGTTAAACAATGATTGTAACTGTATAACATTGTTTCTGTTTATTGTTAAACAGTGATTGTAACTATAAAACTGTATACTATTTCGATGCTCGAACTATCCGTGAACTTAACAATCTCATTAAAATCAGACCTTAGTTCTCGCTACCGAGAAAGATCTGAAGTCATCCCGTTAGGGGTCACGTCAGAATGACCTTTCATCCGACCAATCAGTGCGTCGCTTACCAGATTATGAAAGTGACAGTTGGAATGTGATTTCTAATGAAGCAATCTCGAAAACTTTAACATGGGGTATTCCGAAAGATAGATACGGTTTTAACGACTGAATCCTTACAATCTAGACCATCTATTAGCCATACCAGAATGTTTTTTTGTTCAGGTTTCAAATTTATAATCAAGAATTTGTCAAAATATGTTTCGAAGCTAGTCGCCAATTTGAAATTTGTGCCGTACAGTGAGTGAGTGAGTAAAAGCTTAACGTCACATCGGCAATATTTCAGCCATATCGTGACGATGTGCCGTAAAGCACGAGAAAGCTGCCTTCTGATTTGTCATTTCATTGGTCGGTCAAAGTTCGCGCAAGGTCGGTCTGGCGTGACCCGTCAGATCTTTGTTTAGCGGTAGTGAGAACTAAGATCTGATTTTAATGAGATTGTGAACTTAATATTTTCCACACAAGTTTAAATGGATGTGCGTGCGTGCGTGCGTGCGTGCGTCCAATCATTTCATATCGGGATATTACAATCTTTATTTGCTGCATGATTTTGTTTTATATCATCAAAACTTTCTCCTCGGCAAACTTTGGGCAGTTAATAAAGTTCTGTATAAAAATTAATAAATTTCCGAAATATACTGCTTTGTTATTGATTGTTCAATCATTTGTATGTTGTTTTTACGAAATACTTTACAGGTATTGTTCATATCTCTCTGCTAGAGTCTGACATGCAAACAAATCAGCTCTACAAAACTGGATGATTTTAGCATAAGACAGGGAGCTGACATTTTCAGAGAAACAGAGTCGTCATTTTGATTGTGCAAGATGGATAAACTGAATTTTGGGCCCGGTCAAAGTTATCATTATCCAATAGTTCAAGTCATGGATTTGATCGAAAACGTCGCCCAGGTGTGGTAATCGTGCATGTCAATAGCTCTTCAAACGTCCTACTGCTCATTTGAGGCAATGTATAAAGTAAATACAGACACCGATGAGAAACTTCATACATTTGCCCAACAGATAAATATTAAGCAAACAGACAAATACCTGGTAATTCGCTGATCAGACTCGTGGACTGTTCCACTGTTCCCCTGAGAACAGGTTCACGACTGAAGATGCCAGAGGTCTGCACTGAGAAAGTGAGATGGACTCTCCCTTGCGTTTACACTGAGAAAGTGAGATGGACTCTCCCTTGCATTTACACTGGAAAAGCGAGATGGACTCTCCCTTGCGTTTACACTGAGAAAGTGAGATGGACTCTCCCTTGCGTTTACACTGAGAAAGTGAGATGGACTCTCCCTTGGGATTACACTGAGAAAGTGAGATGGACTCTCCCTTGTGTTTACACTGAGAAAGCGAGATGGACTCTCCCTTGCATTTACACTGAGAAAGCGAGATGGACTCTCCCTTGCGTTTACAGAGAAAGTGAGATGGACTCTCCCTTGCGTTTACACTGAGAAAGTGAGATGGACTCTCCCTTGCGTTTACACTGAGAAAGCGAGATGGACTCTCCCTTGCATTTACACTGAGAAAGCGAGATGGACTCTCCCTTGCGTTTACAGAGAAAGTGAGATGGACTCTCCCTTGCGTTTACGCTGAGAAAGTGAGATGGACTCTCCCTTGCGTTTACTGAAAAAGTGAGATGGACTCTCCCTTGTGTTTACACTGAGAAAGTGAGATGGACTCTCCCTTGCGTTTACACTGAGAAAGCGAGATGGACTCTCCCTTGCGTTTACACTGAGAAAGCGAGATGGACTCTCCCTTGCGATTACACTGAGAAAGCGTGAGTGAGAGAGTATTGTTTTACGCCACTTTCAGCAATATCACGGCGGGGGACAACAAAAATAGGCTTCACACATTGTACCCATGCCGGAAATCGAACCTGGGTCTTCGGCGTGACGAGCGAACGCTTTAACCACTAGGCTACCCAACCGCCCCCACTGAGAAAGTGAGATGGACTCTTCCTTGTGTTTCCACTTAAAAACAGGACTACAGTTATGGTGCTGACAAACCTAGGTACACAATCGCGGAACCAAGATTCGAACCCACATTCAAGGGATGCAACTCTGCACAGAGAGTTGTGGCACCTTAGACACTGGTCCCCCTACCACCTAAGAATCTGAAGTAGTGGAAATCTTGGAATCAAACCTATTGTCAGAGAATCGTGGCTGGCTAAAAGGAAGCAATCTGCATGAACATTAACCATCTACATTTCCTGTGAATATTCGGCAGAATGTCTGGATTCAGTACCAGGTTTGGAGAAAGCACTGAACACTGACCTCATAAAAATATTTATTCACAATCGTCACAATCGTATTTGCAAAGGTAACAATGTAAAGATGTCACTGTAGGCACACTCCTCCCTTCCAGGGCTGACAGGATTCAGGGGAGGTAACTCCTATCTGACACACCCCTCCCTTCCAGGGCTGACATGATTCAGGGGAGGTAACTCCTATCTGACACACCCCTCCCTTCCAGGGCTGACAGGATTCAGGGGAGGTAACTCCTATCTGACACACCCCTCCCTTCCAGGGCTGACAGGATTCAGGGGAGGTAACTCCTATCTGACACACCCCTCCCTTCCAGGACTGATAGGATCCAGGGGAGGTAACTCCTATCTGACACACCCCTGACCACCAGCACTGACGGGATTCAGGGGAGGTAACTCCTATCTGACACACCCCTCCCTTCCAGGGCTGACAGGATTCAGGGGAGGTAACTCCTATCTGACACACCCCTCCCTTCCAGGGCTGACAGGATCCAGGGGAGGTAACTCCTATCTGACACACCCCTCCCTTCCAGGACTGACAGGATTCAGGGGAGGTAACTCCTATCTGACACACCCCTGATCACCAGCACTGACAGGATTCAGGGGAGGTAACTCCTATCTGACACACCCCTCCCTTCCAGGGCTGACAGGATCCAGGGGAGGTAACTCCTATCTGACACACCCCTCCCTTCCAGGACTGACAGGATTCAGGGGAGGTAACTCCTATCTGACACACCCCTCCCTTCCAGGGCTGACAGGATCCAGGGGAGGTAACTCCTATCTGACAACCAACACTGACGGGATTCAGGGGAGGTAACTCCTATCTGACACACCCCTCCCTTCCAGGGCTGACAGGATCCAGGAGAGGTAACTCCTATCTGACACATCCCTGATCACCAGCACTGACAGGATTCAGGGGAGGTAACTGCTACATTAAAACATGACGTGAAAAGTTCTTAACATCAGGTATAAATTCAATTCATGACCACTATCCATTAACAACAACATCAGTAGCCATGGCAACCAGTCAAATTATAAAACAACCCCAGAACGTGTGGGAAAAGCAACTCCATCTGAACTGGCAGTAACCATGGTAACAACATAACTAATTAAATGTTTCTTAATCTGTTAATTTTCCTTGAACTGTTAGGGACACTGACACATGATAGAACAGTGAAGTCTATGCTATGTGGTCAAGATGTCCCCCACATGTTAATGTGGAGCCTTGTGGAGCCTTGTGGAGCCTTGTGGAGCCCAGGTCTGTGAGAAGTTCTCGTGGACTGGGTCGTCTTCACGAGAGTCACGTCTGTTCCAACATCTGAGCACACACAGCGAGGGCGGAACAGTCTCCCTGTCTCTCCTTACACCTGCAACAGAGAGTGAGTGAGTGAGTGAGTGAGTGAGTGAGTGAGTGAGTGAGCGAGCGAGTTGGGTTTAACCCCGCTTTTAACATTATTCCAGTTATATCGCGGCGTGTGAGCTAAATGTGGGAGGAAAGCGATGCAGGACTTGGACGTTTACCACTACAGTGAAACCAACGGGTATGGTGTTGACAAACCCATAATCATAGGTTTCTGGCGTGCCCAAGGGACGCAACTCTACACAGCGAATCGCGGTGCCTAAGACGACTGGGCCACCCGTGCCCCTGAGAGACTGAGAGAGACAGAGAGAGAAAGAGAGGGGGAAGGAGTGTTCGAGAGGATGGGGAGGGGGGTAGCCAGCATCCTTCATTGTTTAAACCATCAATACTAGTGACTTGATCAGGGCTGGCAAAAAAAGATTGATAATCGAAATTATCGACAAAGGGAAAAAATATTAATGATTATCTATATGAAAATTGTGTAATTTATAACATCTTACACTATTGTCATGAAATAAAGTTTAGATTTCCTAAAAAAAAATTGTTATTGTCAATCATGTCAGCTGCCGAAGATGAAAAGCAAACTGTTTTTGTTCGATCTCAAATGTTCACAAAGTTATCCCTGAATAAATGTGCCACACTCCCCAGTGGAGGGAAATATGTTGGTTTCTTTCGGAATCATTTTGGGGTACTTGCTCAAAGTTACTTCTTCGATATATACTGATAATTGATCGATATTTAGTCAACGATCAATCTCTATGATCTGCATCCATAGCCAGCCCTAGACTTGATACTGAGGCTCAAAAGATTTTGTTGCCATGGTGACTCACCACTTGAGGAGTTGGGTGAGATCGGACTGGGGAAGTCCGCCACTTTTGGCCACCATCTTCACCATTGTTGCCAGTGACCTTTGACATGCAAATCTGGCCTTGTTCTGGTTACCATGGCACCAGACAGGAAGCTTGTCTACCACGTCCCAGGCGGCCCTGACATAGTCCCACAGGGCCTGCCACGCCCTGCACTGCTGGAGTTGTCTCCCCTGACTGATGCAGGCTTGCTGGAAAACAAAACAATGGTCAGATTTGACACCAGGAAACACATTCACTTGTCAGAACTTCCGCTAGCTAGCTAGACTTGGTTGATGTCATTGTATGCCTCATGTGTACATCAATGCTCATGATGTCAATCACTGGATTGTCTGGTCCATACGCAATTATTTACAGACCGCCGTAATATAGCTGGAATATTGCCGAAAGTGGCATTTAACACCAAACAAAAACTATAATCTTTGACTATTAGCCTCAGTGTTGAGACATGGATTCCTTGCCTTTCTGCTGGTCTCGTCTACTCGTCACATACCAGTCTCGTCTACTCGTCACATACCAGTCTCGTCTACTCGTCACATACCAGTCTCATCTAGTCATCACATACCAGTCTCGTCTACTCGTCACTTACCAGTCTCGTCTACTCGTCACATACCAGTCTCGTCTACTCGTCACATACCAGTCTCGTCTACTCGTCACATACCAGTCTCGTCTACTCGTCACATACCAGTCTCGTCTACTCGTCACATACCAGTCTCGTCTACTCGTCACATACCAGTCTCGTCTACTCGTCACTTACCAGTCTCGTCTACTCGTCACATACCAGTCTCGTCTACTCGTCACATACCAGTCTCGTCTACTCGTCACTTACCAGTCTCGTCTACTCGTCACATACCAGTCTCGTCTACTCGTCACATACCAGTCTCGTCTACTCGTCACATACCAGTCTCGTCTACTCGTCACATACCAGTCTCGTCTACTCGTCACATACCAGTCTTGTCTACTAGTCTTCTTGTCACATACCAGTCTTGTGTACTCGTCACATACCAGTCTTGTCTACTCGTCACATACCAGTCTCGTCTACTCGTCACATACCAGTCTCGTCTACTCGTCACATACCAGTCTCGTCTACTCATCACATACCAGTCTCGTCTACTCGTCACATACCAGTCTCGTCTACTCGTCACATACCAGTCTCGTCTACTCGTCACATACCAGTCTCATCTTGTCGTCACATACCAGTCTTGTGTACTCGTCACATACCAGTCTTGTCTACTTGTCACATACCAGTCTCGTCTACTCGTCACATACCAGTCTCGTCTACTCGTCACATACCAGTCTCGTCTACTCGTCACATACCAGTCTCGTCTACTCGTCACATACCAGTCTCGTCTTCTTGTCACATACCAGTCTCGTCTACTCGTCACTTACCAGTCTCGTCTACTCGTCACATACCAGTCTCGTCTACTCGTCACATACCAGTCTCGTCTACTCGTCACATACCAGTCTCGTCTTCTTGTCACATACCAGTCTCGTCTACTCGTCACTTACCAGTCTCGTCTACTCGTCACATACCAGTCTCGTCTACTCGTCACTTACCAGTCTCGTCTTCTTGTCACATACCAGTCTCGTCTACTCGTCACTTACCAGTCTCGTCTACTCGTCTACTCGTCACAAACCTAACATTGACCTAAACTGGTCATGTACCTTGAAGTTGTCGATGTGGGTGCGCGCTCTGTGGTAGCATCCGGCATCCTTCATTAGCCTCGATGTCGGCAGTGACCGCAGAATATTCCGGCAGAAGAACTCCAGATTCCGCACCAGTGGAGACACATCAGGGGTGGGTAATGTGGACCTCACTTCCTGTCAACAAAGGTAGGGGAGACAACTCAGGGGTGGGTAATGTGGACCTCACTTCCTGTCAACAAAGGTAGGGGAGACAACTCAGGGGTGGGTAAGGTAGACCTCACTTCCTGTCAACAAAGGTAGGGGAGACAACTCAGGGGTGGGTAAGGTAGACCTCACTTCCTGTCAACAAAGGTAGGGGAGACAACTCAAGGGTGGGTAATGTGGACCTCACTTCCTGTCAACAAAGGTAGGGGAGACAACTCAGGGGTGGGTAATGTGGACCTCACTTCCTGTCAACAAAGGTAGGGGAGACTACTCAGGGGTGGGTAATGTGGACCTCACTTCCTGTCAACAAAGGTAGGGGAGACAACTCAGGGGTGGGTAAGGTAGACCTCACTTCCTGTCAACAAAGGTAGGGGAGACAACTCAGGGGTGGGTAATGTGGACCTCACTTCCTGTCAACAAAGGTAGGGGAGACAACTCAGGGGTGGGTAATGTGGACCTCACTTCCTGTCAACAAAGGTAGGGGAGACAACTCAGGGGTGGGTAATGTAGACCTCACTTCCTGTCAACAAAGGTAGGGGAGACAACTCAGGGGTGGGTAATGTAGACCTCACTTCCTGTCAACAAAGGTAGGGGTGAGGTGAGGTGAAATGGGGTTTAACCACGGAGGCGGTCTAGTGCACAACAAAGAATATCTTTGCCAATTGCACAACAAAGGTGGATAACTGCCCAAGTGCTCAATAAAGGGGGGTAACTCTGCCAAGTGCTCAATAAAGGTGGATAACTGCCCAAGTGCTCAATAAAGGGGGGTAACTCTGCCAAGTGCTCAACAAAGATGGATAACTGCCCAAGTGCTCAATAAAGGGGGGTAACTCTGCCAATTGCACAACAAAGATGGATAACTGCCCACGTGCTCAATAAAGGGGTGGTACTCTGCCAAGTGCTCAACAAAGGGGGGTAACTCTGCCCAAGTGCATGTCAAAGAACTCTGCCAATAGCACAACAAAGGTGGATAACTCTGCCAATAGCACAACAAAGGTGGATAACTCTGCCAATAGCACAACAAAGGTGGATAACTCTGCCAATAGCACAACAAAGGTGGATAACTCTGCCAATAGCACAACAAAGGGGGATAACTCTGCCAATAGCACAACAAAGGGGGATAACTCTGCCAATAGCACAACAAAGGGGGATAACTCTGCCAATAGCACAACAAAGGGGGATAACTCTGCCAATAGCACAACAAAGGTGGATAACTCTGCCAATAGCACAACAAAGGTGGATAACTCTGCCAATAGCACAACAAAGGTGGATAACTCTGCCAATAGCACAACAAAGGGGGATAACTCTGCCAATAGCACAACAAAGGGGGATAACTCAGTGACTGACCTTCTGCAGGGAATATCTGTTTGCGATGTCCGAGATGACTTGGATCAGCTGTTGGTTACTCAAGGCAGACAACTCTTGTCTGAGGCTGTCCGACATCTCGCGCTGCGCACTCTCCCGTTTCCTCGTCTTCTTGTAGGGCGGGGCTAGAGTCTGCCAACAACAGCAGTCATGAACTGATTGATACACCAGGGGAAGGAGTTCAGTGTTTAAGCTGCTTTGTAGAATGCGCGCCTGTATGGGCCATTCTGTTAACTGACTATAAAAGTCCAGTTTCCACCCTTGCCGAACTAGGCTGGTATTATGGAGTTACATTTTGGCTGGGCTAATGAGTCTATGCATGGTCCAATCAAAATCGCGCACCGAAATCGGAATCCGGTTTGTAAAATGTGCAGATTTCTGTCGTTTGAAGGTTATGCAAAGCATGTGCACCGCCAACTTGCTGTCAACAGATATTTTCCAAGTCTTTTCATGTTTTTAATCAAGGTGCTCACATGATTTGAATCACTTCGCTATGTAAGACCCGTTTTATCATAATATAGATCTTGATTATCAATCAGATTGTTTTGACTTGGCGCCACCATTTTGTTTGAAACAAATGCAAGTGATACGAGAGGTGGAATCTGATTGGTCCATAGGAGAGGCTTAGAAGGAACATAACTCATAATGGTGGCACTACGGTCAAGCCCAGGAATTCCGGACTAGTTCGGCAAGGGTGGAAACTGGACTTTAAAGTCAGTTAACTCCCTTGCCTCGGGAAGATGGCATGGGTTGATTGAACAACAAATGTGTGTAGCCACCATGCTTGCTACTTCACCAAACTAACTGAGTGACCCCGGGGGCAGCGAAACTTTTAGCAGAGCTCCAGATAAGCTTTTGGTGTCGTGGGTATTTTACCCATGTATTTTAAAATCATTGGATATCAGAAATTCTATCTGGGTATTCAAATTTCTGTTACCCACTAGTTTTTACACGTTGGTATTTAAGTTAAATATTTAAAAACACTATTCATCTAGTCCCTGCAAACTGGTGTCGTGTGGGTTCGAGAGCTTTATAGGACTCAAAAATACCACGATACTTCCACAAGAAAGTGTGATGGCAAATGATCATGATGTAACTGTCATCGTGGAGTTAAGCAAGGTTGACGGAATGCCCGTTTATAATTTCAAAATAAGTTGCTGATTTGCTAATCGAATACGCAGGGTTACTTCACAATATGATGATACGCAGAAGTTTTATTTTTGTAGCGTATCTGTAATGTTGGTTGAGTATTAGATACGCTTGGATTTTATTTTACTGCATATTTCTGCATTTCTGATGCGTATTTCACAGATACACAGGTTATCTGGCGCTCTGTTTTAGAACTCCTCGTCCCTAGAATGTCTTCGCCTGCACTCTGGATATTAAATCTTGGCTTTCTTTGCCTTTTCCGTGGCTATTTTATGAGCAAATAAAGATCTTGTTGTACAGAACAACACAAAATAGCCATCACTGCAGTTCTGTCATACCATCAAGATGATCTTTGAGGTACACGACCTCATTCCCCCAAAATATATTCACATCAAAATTACATGATTCACGAGCATTGTACAATTAAATCAATTAACAAACACAGAGAAGGGTGAAAGTTTGACGAGCAACACGGACCATCTGCATAATGTTTCAGCAAGCCTTTTGTAATTTTAACTGGACACGGATCATGGGCAAGCAGTTAGCAAGCAGGGGAGACAACTCTACACCTACCTTTGTGAGCGCTGCCGTGTCGGACAGGGGACACAGGGGAGACAACTCTACACCTACCTTTGTGAGCGCTGCGGTGTCGGACGGGGGACACAGGGGAGACAACTCTACACCTACCTTTGTGAGCACTGCGGTGTCGACCGGGGGACACAGGGGAGACAACTCTACACCTACCTTTGTGAGCGCTGCGGTGTCGGACGGGGGACACAGGGGAGACAACTCTACACCTACCTTTGTGAGCGCTGCGGTGTCGGACGGGGGACACAGGGGAGACAACTCTACACCTACCTTTGTGAGCGCTGCGGTGTCGGACGGGGGACACAGGGGAGACAACTCTACACCTACCTTTGTGAGCGCAGTGGTGTCGGAGGGGGGACTCATCAACAGCCTCTTCCTGATACCCGCGACCCCGGCGTGTCTGAGGGGCGTGTCTCCTGCCTCGGGCGTGGTCATGAGGCGGTCCCTGGGCGGTGAGTCTGTGTGGGGACAGGATTCAGTGATGAATGGAAGGTCTCAGAGTGAGTGAGTGAGTGAGTGAGTGGGTGGATGAGTGGATGAGTGAGTGAGTGAGTGAGTGAGTGAGTGGGTGGATGAGTGAGTGAGTGAGTGAGTGAGTGAGTGAGTGAGTGAGTGAGTGGGTGGATGAGTGGATGAGTGAGTGAGTGAGTGAGTGAGTGAGAGTGAGTGGGTGGGTGGGTTTGCGTGGGTGGGTGCTTGGGTTTGCATGATTGGGTGGGTGGGTGGGAGGCTGAGTGAGTGAGTGTATGGGTGGGTGATTGGGTGATTGGGTGGGTGGTCGGGCGAGTTTGGGTTGGTGGGTGGTTATAGTTCTACGCCGGTTTTAGCAATATTCCAGCAATATCACGGCGGGGGACACCAGAAATGGGCTTCAAACGTTGTACCCATTTGGGGAACGCTATAACCACAAGGCTACCCGACCGCCCCTGTCAGGCCAGGTCATGATAGCCCCAGAGTGTTTCCATGTTAGGATTGGTCCCCAGCAACCTCTGCTGGCGTAAGAGGCGACCAATGGACCGGGTGGTCAGACTTGGTGCATTGTGCCCCATCTTCTCTACGACATGGATCGTTGCTCACAATACTGATCACTGGACTGTCTTAATTAGTGTATTGCATTGTGCCCCATCTTACACTGACGACATGGACCGTTGCTCACAATACTGATCACTGGACTGTCTTAATCAGTGTATTGCATTGTGCCCCATCTTACACTGACGACATGGATCGTTGCTCACAATACTGATCACTGGACTGTCTTAATGAGTGTATTGCATTGTACCCCATCTTCTCTGACGACATGGATCGTTGCTCACAATACTGATCACTGGACTGTCTTAATCAGTGTATTGCATTGTGCCCCATCTTACACTGACGACATGGAGCGTTGCTCACAATACTGATCACTGGACTGTCTTAATGAGTGTATTGCATTGTGCCCCATCTTACACTGACGACATGGATCGTTGCTCACAATACTGATCACTGGACTGTCTTAATGAGTGTATTGCATTGTGTCCCATCTTACACTGACGACATGGATCGTTGCTCACAATACTGATCACTGGACTGTCTTAATGAGTGTATTGCATTGTGCCCCATCTTACACTGACGACATGGATCGTTGCTCACAATACTGATCACTGGACTGTCTTAATGAGTGTATTGCATTGTGCCCCATCTTACACTGACGACATGGATCGTTGCTCACAATACTGATCACTGGACTGTCTTAATGAGTGTATTGCATTGTGCCCCATCTTACACTGACGACATGGATCGTTGCTCACAATACTGATCACTGGACTGTCTTAATGAGTGTATTGCATTGTGCCCCATCTTACACTGACGACATGGATCGTTGCTCACAATACTGATCACTGGACTGTCTTAATGAGTGTATTGCATTGTGCCCCATCTTACACTGACGACATGGATCGTTGCTCACAATACTGATCACTGGACTGTCTTAATGAGTGTATTGCATTGTGCCCCATCTTACACTGACGACATGGATCGTTGCTCACAATACTGATCACTGGACTGTCTTAATGAGTGTATTGCATTGTGCCCCATCTTACACTGACGACATGGATCGTTGCTCACAATACTGATCACTGGATTGTTTCCCCTACTGGTGATTCAGTTGAAAAGTACCCAATGATACAAAGAATTTTGATGCAATCGTCAGAAGAAATTGTATCTGAAATTATTATTTTATCAGGAAAAATATATTCCAATATCGTGTTATCTTAGTTGCAGCTTCCACTACATATATATATATTTTTAAATGATAAGAATCATAAGCTTGGCACTTTGGTACAGATGGTATGCAGGATATTTTTTGGCGTATGGAACAACTTGACCAGTCACCATAGGGATTTCCCACGCTACATGTATTTCGCGAAAAAGTTATGTTGACATTTAACAGTCAAACTGCCTCAAATATGACTTTTAGCAAGTCCTGGTATGGCATTTATGAAACGTGTATCCTTTCTATTGCAACACAAGTTTGTTTCAAGGCGTCAATACCTGGCTGTGGTTGCCGTTAATAACGGTGAGTTGTGTGAGCTACCGATCACTTCGCAAACATTATTATTATTACTGAATGAAATTCTGAATATAATTAATAAAATATATTGCAAACATTAGTCCAGATAAACAAGGAACAGTTTGTTTATAACCAGATATGATAATAATAGGATTAAATTGCATACTTCTGTTCGGATTTGTTGAGGGGTATTTCCAGTGTTACGTGACTGAGATGAAACTAGAGCTTATGCTTTACCGCGCTATAACGGAGTCAGCGCTATATTGAAGCACGCTATAGCGAGGAACCACTGTACCATCTTATAACGTCTTTGATGTGACGGGACCGGGCCTTCAACACTCCCCGATTGTTTACAGGCCATTGTCATACAGCGTGACTATTGCTGTGTGCCGCATTCAACACTCTACCACTGGACCACGGGGCAGTCCCCGATTGTTTACAGGCCATCGTCATACAGCCTGACTATTGCTGTGTGCCGCATTCTACAACAACACACACACCATGAGATGAAGGAGGACGTCGCGACCAGGTCTACAACAACACACACACCATGAGATGTACGAGGACGTCGCGACCAGGTCTACAACAACACACACACCATGAGATGAAGGAGGACGTCGCGACCAGGTCTACAACAACACACACACACCATGAGATGTACGAGGACGTCGCGACCAGGTCTACAACAACACACACACCATGAGATGCACGAGGACGTCGCGACCAGGTCTACAACAACAGGCTCACCATGAGATGAAGGAGGACGTCGCGACCAGGTCTACAACAACACACACACCATGAGATGTACGAGGACGTCTCGATCAGGTCTACAACAACACACACACCATGAGATGTACGAGGACGTCGCGATCAGGTCTACAACAACACACACACCATGAGATGTACGAGGACGTCGCGATCAGGTCTACAACAACACACACACCATGAGATGGAGGAGGACGTCGCGACCAGGTCTACAACAACACACACACCATGAGATGAAGGAGGACGTTGCGACCAGGTCTACAACAACACACACACCATGAGATGAAGGAGGACGTCGCAACCAGGTCTACAACAACACACACACCATGAGATGAAGGAGGACGTCGCGACCAGGTCTACAACAACACACACACCATGAGATGAAGGAGGACGTCGCGACCAGGTCTACAACAACACACACACCATGAGATGTACGAGGACGTCGCGACCAGGTCTACAACACAACACACACCATGAGATGTACGAGGACGTCGCGACCAGTTCTACAACAACACACACACCATGAGATGAAGGAGGACGTCGCAACAAGGTCTACAACAACACACACACCACAAGATGGAGGAGGACGTCGCGACCAGGTCTACAACAACACACACACCATGAGATGTACGAGGACGTCGCGACCAGGTCTACAACAACACACACACCATGAGATGAAGGAGGACGTCGCGACCAGGTCTACAACAACACACACACCATGAGATGGAGGAGGACGTCGCGACCAGGTCTACAACAACACACACACCATGAGATGTACGAGGACGTCGCGACCAGGTCTACAACAACAAACACACCATGAGATGTACGAGGACGTCGCGACCAGGTCTACAACAACACACACACCATGAGACGAAGGAGGACGTCGCGACCAGGTCTACAACAACACACACACCATGAGACGTATGAGGACGTCGCGACCAGGTCTACAACAACACACACACCATGAGATGTACGAGGACGTCGCGACCAGGTCTACAACAACAGGCTCACCATGAGATGAAGGAGGACGTCGCAACCAGGTCTACAACAACACACACACCATGAGATGAAGGAGGACGTCGCAACCAGGTCTACAACAACACACACACCATGAGATGAAGGAGGACGTCGCGACCAGGTCTACAACAACACACACACCATGAGACGTATGAGGACGTCGCGACCAGGTCTACAACAACACACACACCATGAGATGTCCGAAGACGTCGCGACCAGGTCTACAACAACACACACACCATGAGATGAAGGAGGACGTCGCAACCAGGTCTACAACAACACACACACCACAAGATGGAGGAGGACGTCGCGACCAGGTCTACAACAACACACACACCATGAGATGTACGAGGACGTCCCGACCAGGTCTACAACAACACACACACCATGAGATGTACGAGGACGTCGCGACCAGGTCTACAACAACAAACACACCATGAGATGTACGTGGACGTCGCGACCAGGTCTACAACAACACACACACCATGAGATGGAGGAGGACGTCGCGACCAGGTCTACAACAACACACACACCATGAGATGTACAAGGACGTCGCGACCAGGTCTACAACAACACACACACCATGAGATGTACGAGGACGTCGCGACCAGGTCTACAACAACACACACACCATAAGATGGAGGAGGACGTCGCGACCAGGTCTACAACAACACACACACCATAAGATGGAGGAGGACGTCGCGACCAGGTCTACAACAACACACACACCATGAGATGGAGGAGGACGTCGCGACCAGGTCTACAACAACACACACACCATGAGATGTACGAGGACGTCGCGACCAGGTCTACAACACAACACACACCATGAGATGTACGAGGACGTCGCAACCAGGTCTACAACAACACACACACCATGAGATGAAGGAGGACGTCGCGACCAGGTCTACAACAACACACACACCATGAGATGAAGGAGGACGTCGCGGCCAGGTCTACAACAACACACACACCATGAGATGAAGGAGGACGTCGCGACCAGGTCTACAACAACAAACACACCATGAGATGAAGGAGGACGTCGCGACCAGGTCTACAACAACACACACACCATGAGATGAAGGAGGACGTCGCGACCAGGTCTACAACAACACACACACCATGAGA